TGTGGATTCTTCGGCGCCCGAAAAAAAAAAACCTGGCCAAAGGCCCTTCCCGGCGGCCCCCCCCCCCTCGCCCCCCCCCGCACTTCTCCCTAACCCACAGCAACTTTCTTCCCTTTCCTGGCTTGAATCCAAAGTCACAGAACCTCATTGCCACCAGAACTGCTATTGTCTTGCGCACCTCCCCCCCCCCGTCCTCCGCAACGCGAGGTCAATGGTTTAATGACGACGGAATGCACGGCTATGACGACCATCTCCCCCCCATCGCTCACCAGCTGGTGGTGCACGATGAGCTTCATCACGTAGGGAAAGATCCCGACCAGCAGGGACGAGTCCACCGCCCAGTGGCCTAGCTCCACGTACTGCTTCAGGAGCTTCAGCGCCCGCAGCCGATCAACCTGGAGGGCATACGTACGTACATCGTCAATTGAGCAACAGCCGTTACGTAGAGATCACATGCTTTCAAGTGGAACGCACGTGTGCAATGGCTGCACGATTGAATCACGATTGCGACCACAACACACGCGTATTGGACGCTACCTGCACCATCCAAGCATGCTTCAAATACGAAATCGAACCATCGCAACCAAGACGAAATAAATAAATAAATAAATGGCTCACTCACTGCAAATGACGTCAAACACATCCCCTTCGACTGCTACTGCTTTGGTGTTATCCCGCACGGGTAGATAGTCTTGGCTGTGATTGTACGAATGGTTCTTAAAAACGTTCTTAAAAACAATAGTCTAAATGCAGTTCCGTCATCATGACATACCTGGCTGAGCAGGATCTGCAGCACCACCGGCAGCTCCTCCAGGGGCTTCGGCGCCACCTCCCCCCTCGCCGGAGCGGCGAACTGCAGCCAGACTTGAAAGGATCGAAGGCGGGCCTGGAAGAAATCGTCCTGCCGGTCGGCCTGCACGATCACGACAACGACGACAGCAGCAGCTGCTTTATTTCCAACAACAAATTTGCGTCCCCCAAAACCGTTAAAACAACCCACCCATAGCGTGCTCTCTGTATTGCTGTCGGTCTCAACACCTGCCAACCAGACAAAGCACATCTCTGCTTTTCGATGGCCGGAGGTCCCAACTACCGCTTCTCGTTGGCCTCAACATCTGCCCATACAGACATGTCCGTTGTTCCGCTGCTCCCAGCACCCGCCATACATAGAACAAACACATCTACGCCGCCGCCACCCTCTTCTTCGCACCACGAGGTCCTGCGGCGTATTCGCCTTCGAAGCCTTGGCGAGCTTGCCCGGTTTGCCCAGGCCCTTGGTGGGGCCCATGCGGGTAGCCGAAAAGAGCCGCCCGAGCTGCTGCTCCGCAACGAGGTCCCACGATTGCCACAGCGGATGATAGCAAGTCATCGGCATCGCTGGGTGCGTCACGGGAGTGCAGTTCAAATTTCTGCGAAACCCAGGGGAGGGAGGGGGGGGGGGGGGGATGTCGGCGGTGACAGAAGGTGGCGGGATACGGTAGATATCCCTGAATGATGGAGAGGGATCTTGTCACCATACAGATGCCAAGGCCCGTCATCCACCCGGAGGATTCAACCTACGCGACAGGTGTGAGTGGTGAAAGGGGAAACGTTCTAACACATAGCCAGGCTTAAAAAATCCAGCATACCATCGTGGGCAATGCGCTACGGCACCTGCCCCCCCCCCCCCCCCCCCCTTTTTTTCTCTCCCTTTCCCTCTCTACCCCCCCCCCCCTCCTAATTTCTTTCCCACC